AAAAAAAAAAAAAAAAAAAAAAAAAAAAAAAAAAAAAAAAAAAAAAAAAAAAAAAAAAAAAGAGGGATTTGAACTGTTTGAATTTTTTAATAGGAACATAAATAATTTTTTAAATACAGGAAAGGATATACAATTATAATGCACAGCAAAACATGTGTAACTCGTTTGACTCTGGCCTAAACTCCATGGCCCCTTCTCTACAAGGCCTCTCCAAAACCCCTTTAGCTAGAGCAGCAGCACGTCCTCCTATCCCCATCCTCCAGGTATCCCCAACCATGTGACATTATGGTATCTTTATCCATTCACCAGATGCTTATTCATCTCATTCTTTGTGCCCCTCTTCTATGTCTCAGGAAATGACAGTGAATAATGTCTCATCTCTCTTAGAACTTACATTCTAGTAACGGGAGACAGACCAATAAACAAACAAGAAATACAATTGGCAGAGCCAGGTGCCATGGTGTGCACCTATAATCCCAGCTACTGGGGAGGATGAGATAGGACGATCACTTGAGCCCAAGATTGTGAGACCAGCCTGGGCAATGTAGAGAGACCCTATCTCAAAAAAAAAAAAAAAAAAAATTACAATTGACAAGACAGTGATGCTACATAGAAAAATAGCAATGTAGAGTCATATAAAGTGATGGGAAGGGAAGAGAGATGTGCTATTTTATACGAGTAGTCAGAGAAATCTCATTGAGAAGGTGACATTTGAGCAGAGACCTGAATTAATTCAGAAAGTAAGTCTTAAGGATGTTGGGAAGAATACCAAGTACATGAGCACGACTGAACTGTGGAAGAGCAAAAAGGCCACTGTGGTGAGAGCATCATGGGATGCTATATAATATAGTTTCTACGTAAATCTGCCATTACTGTGAGGCCTCCCCAGCCATGTGGATCTCTGAGTCCATTAAACCTCTTTTTCTTTATAAGAACAGAAATTTGTGAGGGAAAGTGGTGGGAATGATACTGAAGAGAGAATACAAACCATATTATGTAGAATTTTGCAGGTCATGATTTGCACTTTGGATTTTATTCTAAGTATAAGAAGAAGTTTCTGGAGAGTTTTAAAACATGGAGCAACAGGACCTCAGTTATGTATTTAAAAAGGTCACTCCAGCTGCTGTGGGAAGAATGGAGTTATGGAAGGGCAGGAGAAGAAACAGAGGACCATTCTTCCAGGAAAGCCAAGACTGGGACTTGGACTGGAGTGGTAGCATCGCAGCTGGTAAGAAATGGGATTCTAGATAGATTCTAAAGGCAGAGTCAAAGGATTTGCTGATAGATTAAATGTAAAGCATGAGAGAAAAGGAGAAAACAAGTATGATTCTAAGGTTGTTGGCCTGAGCAACAAGTAGAATGCAGTGCCATTTACCAAGACAATGAAGATGGCAAAAGAAACTCAGGTTTGATGAGAGAAATCACATTGTTAGAATTATTTGTATTAAGTGTGAATCTTATTAAGTACACCAATAGAAATGTTGAGTCAGCAGCTGAATATAAGAATCTATACTTTGGAGGAGAGGTGGGATG